AAGGGTAGTGTTTCCACCCCTTCCTCCAAGAAGGGGGCGAACAAGAAGCGTGACGGTAAGGTTCAATCCAAGCTTTGCTTCAAGTAATTTCGCAGTTTCTGCTCAAGCCCAGGTTAGGAGCGCTTCGCCCTGGTAAAAACACCCCGGGCCACTGGCCGCACACGAAATTCAAATAAATCCAAAAAAGCATCCTTTGGCCACTTTAAATTCATGTATTGTACTTTTTGACTTGGAGGCCTAGTAAAGACAAAAAATCTATATGTCCACTTAGCTTTGGGTGCAAAAGGTCTGGTTTGTTGTAGGATTCTGCACGATGCTCATGATGAAAGCGCAAATCAAGCTTTTTTGGAAAGGGGGGCTTGTGGGGCAGTGGGGGTTGACCGACCCAGCAGCAATGTTTCAAGCGCCGTGTCCACGGGACGGGATGATTTCGTTATCGTTTGTTTGGAAAGGGCCTCTTCAAGAAAACTTGAAGATGAGGCCCAACAGAATCAGGAGATTTGATTTTGTGCCCGAGTTCAATCCGGGTCAAACCTTGGAGAAGTTGTGCTATTGTACATTGTTGAAGATTCCCCGTATTTTTGCAACCGGACACGGTGAGCGACATGTGACATGATTAGTTTGTGTGTGTGCAAGTCACGCAGCTAGGGATGGGAGGCGTGACATCACAATGGGTAAAGCAGGATTTTGGAGCATGGCAGGGCTCATTGATCTTAGGCGTTGCAATTTTTTGAGTTTGGGATGGGCCTCGTGGTGTCTCCTGGTGCCACATCAGAACAAGTCGTGCAGTCAAGAATTTGCATTCCTCATTCTAGGCCAGTGCTTGTTTGACATTGGACATGTTTAGGTCGAGCAAAGGGGTGCAAACAAACAGCACTCTGCGCCATTGTGGTCCAACGTGTTGAGCCGTTCAGGCTCCATCATTGCTGTCAATGTTACACGCATCTTCATGGGTGACCATTTCGGTAAGTGATGTTGGTATAAGGTGATTGGTAGTGAATCCAGGTTGACCTCTTTTCATTGTAGTATTGTAGTCCCACATGGTTTTGACCAGGTGTTTGAGAGTCGATTTTGCGAGCGCATGGTTGACAATCACAACTGCCTTGTGTGGTTAGCTTCTGCGCCAGACGGTTGCTTCAGGTTTCGCAGTGCCAAGGAGGGAGGTCCATATCGTTTTCGTCATACGCTAGAGCCTGCAGATTGGTTTTGCCAGCTTTTGGAGCGGTGTGGAGGTGAAGGCTTCCACAAGGAAGTGTTGCACGCCTTTGCTGGGCGGTCATCAACTTCAAGTGAGTCGGACGGTGTTCAGGTCTGCGCGCTTCTAAGAATTTCCAATGCAGGTTGCGTGTATGAGGCAGGGCCCTTGACTCAATGGAGTCAAGAATCTGATTTGCTGAGAGCTTTCTTCCAATTTCCGCTTGACAGTTATGATGTAGTTGCCGAAAAAATTTGGGTTTGCAAATCTCCCATGTTCCTTACTCACAAGAAGGTCCGGCAATTTGGGGCAGGAGGGATTGGCAAAATTACCAAAACTCAGCCATTGTTTGTTGCCCACTGGGGTTCCGATGGAAATGCGTCTGATCTGTTGCTAGAGAGCGAGACAGGGCAGGTCCTTGAAGCCGGCCGTGTGCTAGCAGGGTTGCAAGATTCGCGGGCAGCTGCGGACCTCCCAATGATCACCATGCCTTGGCCTGTAGTCTTCCTCCTTACAAAGCGTGCTTGGTCCAAGATAATCCTTCTTGTTCGATGGCATGCAGCTTTGAACCAGCACAATCGCAGGGGGCGCTGGCAGTGGACTGGATTGTTAGAAGGTTGGCCGCCCCAGCATGCTAATGTTTGGGCACAGCGTGGGCAGCACCAGCCCAATGATGGAAGACCTGAACAACACTTGCAAGCCCTTGATGCTGACACATTGCAGAAATTTGCAGGAATCATCCGGAGCTGGGCCCCAGCTTTGCTTGAAGGGGCGCAACCTCCTGCGTCAGCCAGGGATGACTTAGGGTTTGTGGTTACAACGTTGGATAACTGGAGTTTGTCTTGGCGTGAGACCCTTGGCATGTTGAATATTCCAGGTGCTTGTGCCAGATTCCGTCATCATTCCCACAAGCTTCTTGATTGCATCCGCATCAGCAGTTTTTTGACAGGCGGCCCCAGCACATTGGTTGATGTCCTAGCGCAAGCCTTGGCCATTACTCTCCCTCCGTTTTTACGGGAACCATTTATAAAGAACATCACAAGGTCAAGTCGGGAAGCAAATAGCATAGTGCCATCCGCTTCTCTCATTCAACGGTATGAGATTGCTTTGGATGTAGCGTTAATGCTTTATTGCAGAGGCAAGGCCGCCACGAAGTGTGTTCGCGTTGGTTGGGCTGACTCATCTCCACTTGCAGGGTTCGATTGGATTTGGTCCCAATACCATGAGGTTCCAGTTTCCCATCTTGTGCGTGTTCACAAAGCAGTGTGTTCCCTCCAGAAGGTGATTTCAAGGTTTGCGCAGGACTTTGCCGAGGAAGAAGATGACGCGCAGTGGCTAGCTGCCCCTTTGCCGGAATGGGTGCCCCACCTGAAGGTGTTGCAAAAGCACATTTTCGAGCATGTGAACCCGCCTGCAGCAATGGGGAGTGGTCGCAGATCCCTAGCGGATAAGGCAGCTAGTGAGGTTTACAAGTGGCACTTGCAGCATGCAGAAACAACCAGCTTGTCAGAGCACGCAGATTCTTTCGTTGCGTTTTGTAGCGACATGGGTGTTGAGTTGAGCCTTCCAGATTTCCATGTGCCTGGGTCCGTAGATGCTTTGCTTCCCGATTGGTTGGAAAGAAAGCCGCCTGCAGAGATTGATGAGCAGTTGCAAGCCCCGTCTCAGCATGATGACGTAGATGGCCCGATGCTGGTTGATGATGATGATGATGATGATGATGATGAGGGTGGTGCGTTGGGGGGGGCAGTGGTGGCAAGGGAAGCTGCTGAAGCTGTTGGTGCAAGCTTTTTCATGCCGCATGCTTTGACCGTTGCCGGGCTGCAGCATGTTGTGAACAACCTGTGTGCTGAAGTCCACCAGGGACTTAACCATTGGAGTGCGTTTCATGCCGAGTTGAAAGCCCTTGAGTCCCTGCTCCGGGTGCAAGAGCGCCGCCAGCGTTTTGTGTGGACGTGCCTGCACGGCACTCAGCTTGAAGCCCAAACATTCCGCTTTGATAAGTTTCAAGGGAGCCTGTACGAAACCCGGTGGCATGAGGTGTTGGGTTTTCTCCGGCATCTCAAGCCTTTGCTTCCAGTTTTGAGCAGAGCGTGGGACAGTGCCAAGTACATCCGTGGGGTGAATCTTGAAGGATTTGCCAGGCCAGTGCAGGCACGAGCAGAGCAAGCGCAGAATGAACAACAGGGGCTTGCCGCTTTTGATCCTGAGAAGATTACGCGTGCTCTGCAGAGCCCCTTGTTCCACTGTTATGTGTCCATGGCGTTGGGGTTAGAACAGGTGCCCGAGGCTTTGGCTAGCGCAGCAGAGGGGTGTCCGTGCCATCGTGCAATGTTCAAGCACGTGAGTGATCACATAAGACAAAAGATACTGGAAAAGCGCTTCAGGCCAGGAATCACAGTGTGCCCAATGGCTGGCAAGCTTTTGCCAGAACTTGTTGCAGGTGAACTTGAGTCTGTTTTCGAGCGCATTTGTGCGCTGCAAGAGAGTGAGCTCACACTGATGCCCCTTCATGGTTTGCGACCTTTGACAAGCGATGAATGGAACCTGTTGGTTTCAGATTTCAGAGCAGGCCACTTGCATGCTTCAAGCAGTTTGTGCCATCTAACTAGTCAGGCATTTGAGCAAAGTGTACTTTTTTTTGGTGGTAGTTTTGATTTGCGTTTGCATGTGCAAGACGTGACTTTGACTCCTCTGAGGCAAGTCCAAGATGTTGCTGCTTCTTCGAATGAAGACTGGGTATCTCCAGAAAGTACCCTGGGCCTTTTCAGGTCTTGCCCACACGGATGAGAATGTGGCACGTGAGATGGCCATGAAAATTCTCCAGCAATGGGAGATGGATCCCAGGCCTCAGGCGCATCATCGGTTGACTGCCAGGCTTATGGGGCAAGAGAATTTCATAGGGCCCCTTCGAAGCTTCAAGGACGGTGCTTCTCTAGATTCATTGTGCTTGGAGTTTCAGCAGCAAGTTGCGTGTTGGAGGCTTGTGCCCATTGTGGAAACAACAATCGAAGCCAAACATGCCCGTGTGTCTTTGGCAAAGCGCAGGCATCACCTTGGGCCAGTGCGCATCAGTTTGGCAAACAGGCTGCCACTTCTAACTAGATGGGTCCAAAGGGGTCATGTTGACTCAGTTGAATTAGTAAGACTATTCTCGAAATCCCGGTCCCTGAAAAAGATCCCTGGCTTGCTTGATATTGCAGATCACCCGGATCTTGACGCAGCTCAGTTTCGAAAGGGTCCAGCATCCATGAGGGTTCTTCTGGGGAAGTTGATTTACCGTTGCAACATTAGGGACATGTACCACTCCTACGAAGTTGCTGGTAAAGCGAATGAGCGCTCAAAGCGTGCTGCAGCCAAGGCCCAGGCAAAGCTCATCCCCAGCAATTCAAGCGCCTTGACTTATGATCGTGTGGTCCTCTGCGCCATGCAGCAACACATGCTGCAAAACCATGAAGCCTCAGCCACGACGTGTTATTATTCTGCCCCCAGGCAGTGCATGCAGCTGCAGTCTGTAGAAGCAGTCTTGGAGGAGCCGTCCACGAAGCGTCAGCGTGTTGATGCCTTGCCTGATGATGCAGATTCAGGACTTGCTCCTGATGTGGGCATGTGGGTTCCTGACACCCAGCCAGTCACGTTTCAAATTTTGTTGAAGAATCCTGGGGATAAGAAAGTCATTCGACCAGCAGTAGGTGTTGGAGGGAGGCTTGCCAAGGGAGCAGTGGTAGCTGTTCACAAAGGCATTTGCTGTCAGGATGCGTGTCTCTCAGACTCAATTGTTGTGGCTGGTTCAGCTTCGGCAAGTGACGTTTCCGGTCAGTTTTTGTTGAGCAACCTGGCTGGCACGATCGAGGAACTTCAAGCCAGCATGAAAGCATGGAAATCCCAAAAGCTCGTTTGGACTCTCAATGCTGAGGACGTTGGGTTTGAGCTTGATGAGGTTGACAGTCTGCTGCAGGGCATGGTTGCTGCAGGTGCGTTTGAAGGGAATACGGAAGGGCTGGGGTTCTCAGCGTTGCCAGCCCAGCGCCCCCTGCTTGAGTCTTTGCAACGCTTAGGCCTTGTGTTGTGTGCTGGTGAACAAGACCTTCGGTGGCGCTTGTCCGAAGTGGGCACAAGAGCTTTGAGCAGTTGTTGCAGGTTGTCGGCCCCAGTGAACGTGTTTCATGTGCCAGACAACCTGAAGATTGCTGATGCCACAGTGTATGAAGTCATCATGCTGTTGCAGGCCAATGGTTGGGTGTGGCAGGCTTGGGTGCCTGTCTCCAAACGCACTCGTAGGATGGCGTTGCAAGGTCGAACTTTCGACGATTATGCCAGAGGGAAGCAGAAGATATGGTACTCAGGAGAGGTGCCATCTCTGCCATATCTTCGTGTGTTGTGGGATGCAGAAAAGATTTTTGATCTTGGCCTGCCGGCAATCCCGCATGGCAGGGAGGACGCTTGCTACAAAGCTTTGCTTCGAGGTGAGGTGGACGAGGAGTTGGCTCGAGGTGCAATTTTGCCACCAGACGTTGATGCAATTCCAGACAGGGAAAGTGATGATGATGCTGTGCTGCGTGCTCTAGAGCAGCTTGAAAATGATCCAGAACCTGATGAGGATTTGCCAGACATTGAAAGGGAGCTTGTTGAAGCATTTGAGCTGCTTGAGAACGGTGCAACTTCTGCGGAAGAAGAGCAGCCAGCGAGCCCAGCAAGGCCAGCCGGTCCTGAGATTGGGGATTTGGGGGATCGCCGTGTAGATGAAGTTCCACCTGCAGAGCCTGTTGCGGTCCATCGTGGTCCCAGGGACGGCGTGGCCAATCCAAGGCCAAAGCGTGCAGCAGCTCCTGCCGGTGAAGGCCCACAGCTGGAGGGAGGCTTCTTTGGCATCTTCAGAATAACAGCGAAAAAAGCCGGCACAGTTGGCGGTGGTGCTCACGGTGGATATCAAGCCACCTGTCTTTTTCACAAAAAGAATGACAAAACCGGCTGCAAGCGCTTCTTGTCCTGCGAAAGCTCCAATGAGTCAGACCGGCAAATGACACTCCGAAGACTGATGTGGTGGTGCACATTGGCTCAGCAGCACAGCACGCAGCGCAATCATTTGAGTGTGCCCCTTCCCACTGAGACTTGCCCTCCATTGGCAGTGCTTGAAGCTCAGTGCTCTTTGATTGAGAGACCAGAGCCAGCGTCAATAAAAACAGATGTAGAAATTGCAGCAGCAGCCGCCAGGCATGCAGCTGCAAAGGCGAGGCCCAAGCAGAGTGCTGCCAGGCCAGCCAGTGCCAGCGCAAAAGCAGCCCGCGAGGCTGTTGCAAAGTCAAAAGCCAAGGCTAAAGGCAAGTCGAAGGCAAAATCCCAACCAAAGGCAAAAGCCAGCGCATCTGCTGACGCCGATCCTGGCTCTGATGAGGCAGCCAGCGATCCTCCTACTTCAGAAGAGGCAGACTCAGATTCAGCCTCAAGCTCAAGCTCCAGCTCGGGCAGTAGTTCCAGCTCGAGTAGCTAGTTCCCAACTCGAGAAGCAGCCAAGCAAGCGTGATGGCCATGCATGGTCATGTGTGCATTGCAGCAGCCATGCCATGCACTTGCTACGTAGTTCCCACGGATGCTTTGAGAGGTTAAAGCAAGAGGTTGCGTGTCTCAGCCAAAAGCGTGTGTGCAGAGGCAGTCAAGCAAGTAGCAAGCTGCAAGAGTGTACATGTGGTTGTTGAAGTGCGTGGTTGCAGTCCCTGCAGGCGTAGGACAGTGTAGGAAGCAGTCCATGTGATGCAGTGTCAATCATGAAGACAAGCAGAAACAGTTGTTCTTTGCCAGACATGTGCAGTCGCTGTTCAAGTTTCCATGTGCAAAACAGTTGAGACAATGTTTGCTTCCTTTGCGGGGCTGGACACCCATTAAATCATCCTTTCCTCAGCCCAAAATTGAAGCACAGGCTGTGTTTTCTCAGGAAACGCGTTGCAGGCTTTGGAATTGGCAAATAAATCTGAAACCTGCAGATTTCATGGGAAAGCCCCAAGAATTGGTCCCGAAAGCTGTTGAAATCCTGTGAACCTACCATTTTCTCTAGTTTTCTAGAAAACATATGTCTTCTGAGCAAGAAAGTGGTGGAAAGTAGGCGAAGAATGCGAAATCCATTTTTTCTAGATTTTCCATAATTTCCAATAAATGGGATTGGTGGGTGGAGGTCCCACCAGAGAAAATCAATAGCCACCAGCGATATTTAAATGCCCACCAGCGATTTCCGGAAAGCCCGCCAGCGAATTTGGAAATGCCGCCAGCGAAATTTAAATGCCCACCAGCGAAATTCGGGGCCCGATTTTCCTGGTGGTAGCCCTAGGAATTTCCGGAATAATAGAAATGTTTACTTTTATTTAGAGTGACCCATGCCGAGCACTTTTGCATTTGTTTGCATTTGTTTTACCTGTTTCTTCCGGAAAAAACAATGATTTTAGGCAATTCTAGGATTTTTTATAAGCATTCAGCGCTTTTGCAGCTTTTGTTGTCGTCCAGGCCATGTTTTCTGGAATTATATGAGATTTCCATGATTTCTTTGATTTTTTTAGATTTACTTGTGTTTACTTCTGCATGTTCTAGGATTTGTTGTTTTTCTAAGATTTCTTCACCACATGCTGCGCCTTCTAGGATGTGAGCTGTAGGTGTCTTGGCAATCAGTGAGCAGCAAGCAAGCCTTCAGTTTTCCTTTACAAAAGAGGCCCAGGCCCCGGACACTCGGGGGCCGCCAGCCCTCCAGGCTGCCCAAAACTATGCAGAGCAAAACAGCCGAGAGGCCAAAGAGGTTTCAGGATGGAGGCGCAAGCAATTCCCTCTTCACATGTCCCCAACCCACTAGTTTCCCAAAGGAGATTGACTCACTAGTAAGCAAGACAGGCTTCGACAGGAGCAAGGCTGTTCGTTGTGCCCGACTTAAGAAACAACTTACTTCCTGGTTCTTGGAGGTTGTTTTAGAGAAGGAGAAATAAACATGCAGCCCAGCATCCTTTAAGCCCCAGACAAACATGCTCAGCAGCGCATTCACATGCGGCAACAACCATGCTTTGAGCTGCTTGGGATTTGCCAACCATTTCTTTATATGCATCCGCAACAACCGCCATGGCCCAAAACGTGGGCTCACACTCCAGGCTTGGGGGTTACTGGCGTGATCCCAATCATGGACTTACCTGCTAGCATGTTGGTGGAGGGGAAGGTTGAGTGGGCCATTGGCTACCAAGGCAATGGGAGGTTAGGGGTGTTGTATGAAAAGGGGATGATCGCTCCGCACGCCTTCCTCTTGCAAAGATGAGGTTCCGGAAGAGCTTTGCGCAGCACATGCTTTCCAGACGCAGTCTTGTTTGCTCACGCTGTCCAACATGTCCATGTTTCAAGTACCAGTGGGGTCTCCCAGACTTTCAGTTGTGCAAACTCGAGCAAAACACAACCGAACATGTTGACTTGATGATTTCATGTTGTCACGTTTCACGTTTTTGACGAGAAGTTGTTGTCACGTTTCAGGTTTTTGACGAGAAGTGCCACAGTTCTCACTAGTGGTAGTGCTGATCATGTCCATGGCCAGCAGTTCAGAGCCTGACCTGACAACGTCAGAAGAGCTGAGTCACTGTGGAGACGATTTGGATGGGGATGCAATTTCGCAGCCCTGCAGTTCGGATTCCAAGAAAAGGAGCCGTGAGGTTGATTTACTTCCAGATGGCCCAAGCAACTTGTCTCAGTGCCTGTCGTACAATTCCAGCCAGTTACGACATCTTTTGGATGTGGTGCCTCGTCTTGGGCAGGACACAGCCAAGCAGCTCAAGCAGACAGCCCAAGTGCCAATTGTTGTGACTTCCTGCTATTCCGGCACTGGCTGCTTTGAAGGTGTAGCCAAGCAGGTCACAAAATGCCTGGCAGCTGCTTTCCCAAATCATGGGGGCTCTTGCGCTAGCTATTCCGCCACAGAGATCAGTGCTGTTGCAAGATCTTGTTTGTTGTCACGAAGCAGTGCTCAGCATGTCTTTCAAGATGTTTTGGGAAGATTGCCGAATGCAGTGCGTGAGGAGTTGCAGGCAGTAGAAAAGAACGTTTTAGACGAGTACAAGTACTTGAATCAGGAACTGACGCTGGGTCAGTTGGACAAGGGTTCATTTGTAGCAGCGCGGAACAAGTTGGAAACTAATTACTTGAACACCTTGAGGGAGGAGCTTTCTGCAGTGGAGTTCAATGACAAAGACTTTTGTGTTGTTCACAACCGAATGTGCCACATCTCTCCCCGACATTCGAAAGATTTCAAGAATGCATACTGGATTGAAGCCAGCGGCAACACATGTTGTCCCTGGTCTGGAATGAGCACAGGTAACGGTTGGCTTGACAAGGCAACGTTGCCTTTTTTTACATGGGCATATAGCACGCGCTACTACGAACCCGACACAATTCTTCAGGAGAATGTTCCTCGTTTTCCAGAAAGCATGATCATGGAGATCGTTGGCAACTTCAGTCCTGGTGTGATCAAAGACATGTGCACCAGGCCTCTTCTGAAGGATGAGTTGCGCAGTTACCGCATGGAAGTTCAGGTGTTTTCGCCTGTCGACCTCGGCATCCCAAGTCAGCGGCGAAGGAAGTACACAGCCTTGCACTTGAGTCCATGGGTGAAGTTCGGGAGTCAGCTGTCGTTTGTGGACATGTTTTATCGAAAATTGCAATGTGATGCAAGCATTTATTTGGCAGCAGTCCCCTCTCACTTGCGTGTCTTGCCAGAAGACTCCTTGGCTGCGCTTGGGAGAGGCAACGCCCAGCGTCTAGAAAGCTGGAAGTGCTGGGCAGATAAGCATGGCTGGAGAACTTCAGAAGGAAAGTGGGCAGATCCTACTATCCGTTTTGCATTTGCAGACCTGACGCAAAATGCGAGGTACCGCAAGAAGGTGGAGACGGAGTTTGCGCCGTGCTTCCTCACCCACACGCATCTTTGGGACATGGTGGCTGACCGGTCAGTCCCCGTTCTTGTGCACTGGCTGGCTCAAGGTTTTCCGCATCCAGGTGCTTCTGGGATTCCTCCTGATTTGAGTCAAGATATGCCACTGGGCAGCCAGCTGTTGGACTCAGGGTCGCCAGAGCTCTTAAGTGATGTTGCGCAGCGTAAGTTGACAGGCAATGCGATGCATTGGAATAGCATTGGGTCGTGGCTTCTGTACGCCCTCAGCTGTACAGACAAGTCGCTGATTGTAGCAGGACTTAGGAAAGTGGCAGCTGAGAGGCCCCAAGGACCTTCAGTGCTGGGCAATACTGTTCAGCCCCGAGATTCCACGCCTAGGCCTAAGCGTGGGCGCTATGTGTTGAGGTTGTGACACCGAGCACACAAGACAGTTTGCAGCCCTCCCAGGCCAAACACTGCCTGAGCGCTTGCCCTCATGCATGTAGGAGAGCTTGTGCTAGTTGATTGAAGTTGATTGCACTGTTTCCACTCTTGCATCCTGTTGAGATCCAAACGCAAGCGCATGTGACGTTGTGCTTGGTGGCTTGTTGCTCAGCTGGCCAAGTGTAGGTAACATCGCGTAGGTGCCAGAAGCATCAGAGAATTTCGCTGTTGCGTTTCTGGCAGCATGTCCGAGGACTTGGAATCCCCGCCCATGGATTGCGACTTGGACTTGGAGGCAGCCTCTGTCACCGACCAGGGAGAAGAACCTAATGGCTCCGATGATGAGGGCAGCGGCACTCCCGTGAAGACGACCAAAAAGGGGGCCAAAACCAAGGGCAAGGGCAGGCTCAAGGTAGTGAACAAGTTCGGGAAGACGAAGGGCAATGTGAAGGCAGGCAAGAAATTTTGCCCTGCTTGCAGCAGGTGGCTCCCGATTGAGGAGTTTCCCACAGGCAGTGGGCAATGCGGCACTGACAGGAAGGTAATGCAAAACCTTCGAAATGCCGCAGTTGCTCAGGATCAAGTTGCATGGTGGGAAGACACCGTGAAGGACCCGGAGAAGTTGAAGCACGCTGTCCAAGCTTACAAGGACACCTTGCCGGCTCCTGGAAAGAAGCGCAAGCAGTTTGTGATTGTCCAGTACATAGAGGAGCGAAGGAATGAGTCTTCGGTTCTGCTGGATGGAATCCAGGAGATGATGGACGAGAGGCACTTCATGGTTTGGATGGCAAAGCCCAAAAACGGCTGCAAGGATGCGCTGGAAGCTTCAGCGGAGTGGCACAAGAAATGTGCCGCGCCTGGTGCCATCATTGACTACAAGGGTCCTTGCGAAAAGTATCGCAAACGTGTTGCGATCCAGGTCAAGGACTTAGTCATCAATCGGGATGCCCATATTCGTTCGCAAGGCTATGTGGTAAAGGACAAGGAAGTGAAGAAGGGTGACCAAGCAGCCATCGACAAAGCCGAGGCCAGGCTCTTCAAGGAGCAAGAGTTTACTGCGAGCTCGGCCCGCAACAAGCAAGATCTTGCAGCTTCGATGGTCGCAGCGGCTGCAAGCTCTAAAGATGGGGCTTTCAGCTCTGATGGCAAGGGCGCAGCCGGCG